AATACTGGGTTGAGGGAATTCTGAGAGAATTCAAAGGGTGCAGTCTTGGTGATGTAGCTAGAGCCTCATCTGAGCTGAAAAAAAATCTGGTCTCCACAATTAATTCCAGGGTCGATGTCAGAATGGAAAAGCCTGACAATCGGGGTCTGTAGCAGGTTTCATATTTTAAGTCTTATCCTCAACTCTGTAATATTTTTACAAGAGAGAAAAACACTTTTGAAGGACTTTTGGAAATGCACAGGTTTCAGCAGAGGTATAAAAGGACACACCAACAAAGCAAATATTATGCAGAAGGTGTGGCTACCTTGATGGAGAATAGCACTTGGCTATGACACGGGACTTTCAAATCCTTGGAGACAGGAGTCACAGGCTGGGTAGTCCTTCTGCTTAGAGGAGACAAACCAAGTCCCTCAAAGACTGGGTTTGCATGTCCCACTGTCACATCACCGTGACCTAAGGCCAAGGCACAGCAAGATGGAGGAAGAAACTGAATCTGAAAGTGGGCTTTTTTTCCCTGGATTTTTTTTATTTTGCAAAATGAGAATTTCACTCCTTAACCACTCCCCATACATCCAAACCAACCAACCAACAACAACAAAATCCACACCAAATTCCTACATAACCATAGTAGATCTGGTTATCGGTAAAATAAATAGACCACAGCATGTATCTCGAACAAAAACTAAAAAGGGGGAAATAGTCAAGTCTGTTTTCTCGAATGCTATAGAATATTTGATCATGTCTAAGTATTAGGTTTCTAGTTGAAAAGAAATGGTTTAGTCTCATTTCAAATACATACATACATTTAACTATTAATTAGAAGAAGTATGAAAATATCCTTAAATATGTTATATACTTACAGAATATATACATATTAAAACATCAATAAACATAATAATAATGTCACCAACTGACTGTAATCACAAATTTTTCCCCCTTACACAGGTGACACAGAATCTTAAAAGACACGTGGAGAAGCGCTGAAGGTTTTTTCTGTTCCATTATTTCCCCTAGTGAAGCTAACTTACATAAAGCTTAGCAGTTACATGACCTAAACAAATTGTCTTGTTGATCTCCTCCTAGCAAGCAATTAAACCTGAAAAACTTTTTATTAAATGTAAAGCTAAATATATTAAAGTCATTTATCCCAAACTACTACTTGGCTGATAATTGAATTAGTACGCACACTGCAATTTTTCTTTACTTTACCCAAATGTGTTTTTTATTAAAGTGAAAATAAAACCCACCAATTTTTAAAAAGCATATTATCTTTAATCCACTGCATCAACCTAGTTCTTATTTAAATCACTGTGGAAGAAAAACTAGTCCCACTTCTTTTCTTCAATTAAATGAACATAATTCTAAATATGCTGCAACTAAAGGAAGAGAACTCCAACTCGGGCTTCTGAAAGTACAGCAGTTGCAAGGAAATGAAACGATAAGGGTCCAGTTATTTCCCAACCTCACTTTGGCACACATAAAAATCAAACCCTAGGGGCTGCGGATGTGGCTCAGTGGTAGAGTGTTTGCCTGCAGTATGGGAAACCCTGGTTCCATTCCCAGCTCTAGGCGCCCCCCCCCCAAAAAAAAAAAATTTAAACCCTGGGAATTGTAATATCCATGTCTGTCTGTGAAACAGCTATAAATTCCACTGTTTTTTGAATATCTTTTAAAATGATTTAAAAGTTTTACCAAGAACATGGTGAGGATACTCATATTGTTTTTGTTTTTAATTCTATTGATAAGTCTAGAAAAGCTAGGTACTAAAGTTGTTCTATTTGTCCTTAAATATTTGGTAAAAAAGAAATTCATTAAAACTGAGTATTTATATTACCAAATAGGGTGTTATGTGACCAAAGATAATCTTTAATACTTTTTACTCTGAAAGTAATTCATATAATCATGGTGGGCATAGGTTAATGGCAAAGTGTGTACCCCACATGCAAAAGGGCTAGGATTTGATACCCAGCACTACAAATGAAAATATTTCATTAACCTCTACTTAGTTCATAAAACTTTATTAAAATAAATTAGTAAAACTATATAAAATTTAAGACAACAGGCAGGGCCTATAAAGGTAGATTTCAGACTGAAATTCTTTGGGATGGTTTTTCCTTTCCAATTTTCTTTTCGATTTCCCTTTTATTGGTGACATCCAATAAGTCCCTGTTGTAACACTTGCAAGACATACATTTCTCGGTAGGTTAAAATTATTGAAGCTTATTCAAATAGCGGAGTTTAAAGTCTCTGTATAACCTAGCTTTTGCTTAAGTCTCAACAGTGGAATTTCCCAAGCCTAAGCTATTTAATCGACTACCTTTGTAAAAAGCCACATACTACAAATAGCTTCTAACTGGTATAAAATTGTGTGTATATATGGGAATATATAAATATAAGGTTTTACTTAGAGGAAATCTGCACATTTCAGTAATATATTTTATAACTACACAGAGTTGAACCTCTGCAACCGATGAGTTCTCAGATAGTCCATTCTGTCTGCAAACTTTGGATTCCTCCTTACTGCTAATCAGAAACCTGAAAAAACACACCAGAAGCATTTCAGGGAAGCAGATGAATACAGGCACAAAGAAATTCTTGCTATGGAAAAAGCAGCAGCATCCGGGCACCATGTCATCTTTTATATCTTCATAGCCCCACTTGTCCTGTTTTGTATACTCGTTGTGATAAGTAGATTCTTCTGGCTATTGCATGACACTTGAGGCTAAAAAAGCAAAAACCTTGGCCAATCGCATTTTAAAACATCTTGAATACTGAAAAGGAACTGGAAGAGACATTTGTCCAGTATTGTGTGTGTGTGTGTGTGTGTGTATACTTTTTTTTTTGCCATTAAAAAAAAAAAGCAAATTAAATTTGATGAGCAAAGAGTCGTTTGGCTTCATTCATTTACAGGAGATGAAGAATTCTTGATAAAATCTGGGTTGCACCCTACCCAGTAGACTAGGACAAACATAATACATCCCACACGGTCATGGGGTGAAACAAGGGTCCAGCGAATGCAATAGACCCCCCTGTGTTCCCTCTATGGCCCAATTCCACACTTAACCAGCAGCAATGGAGTCAGCTCTCAAGTCAGCTCCAAAAAGTGACCAGAAGCCCCATCACCATAATCACTGCTCTGTCATGACAACTGATTTTAGGGAATTGCATATGAAAGTTTAAAGTGCAATTTCTTCACTTATCATTTAAGAGGAAACTTCCAAAGGAAAAAAAAAAGAAGAAGAAGAAGAAGACGACTTGGCTTTCCGAACGCATGGCTACTCCTCTGCTCCGTTGTTCTTAAACATAATTTATGTAAAGCAGGCTTTTCTCTAAATATACCATGCTTTCCCATATACACATTGAAAATGATATTTGCATACAGCGAGTGTATGCGCTGATACACACATGGTAAAAACTTAAAAAATATGGACTGCATAAATCAGTAGCTGATTTTAAATATACACCAACTTAAACAGATTTGTTTGCAATTTCTGAATTCTTCAGGTAGAAAAGATCTCTCTTGCTGGCTGTGGTTCTAGAAGATGTTTATACTCTATAAGAGTGTACAAGAATGCTTCCCACATAAACAAAGAAAAGAAGGTTCCAGGATCTTGGTATTCTAACCTTGCCTTTGCTATTAAACATCCGCCAGACGAATGTGATGGAGACCAGCGAAATCAGCCTGTCATGCTACAGTAAACATGATATTCCGTGAGCTGCCCAAGACATTTTTTCTCATGAATATAAGTCGCCTGCCATTTATTATGAGATTTTTCCCCGATTGACACCCCATTATGTATATTCAGTCAAGCTCAAAGGAGATTTCAAGTGATCAATATACTATTTGTGCTGAAAGTCTATTAGTAGCTCTAGCAATAAGCTCTGCAAAGAAACAAAAATGGAAGTGATATTTAGTGAACTGAATTACATAGAAATCCATGTTTTGGGCAAGTGGCTAAAGACAGGAGGCAGGAAATCAAGGGACCAGAGAAGGTAGGAGAGATGCTTTTCTATATAAAATTCAGCTTTCTAGAGCCTGGCCAGTGATGAAATGCATAAAATGCCTGAGAATTTTTCAAAAATATCTTAAATTACACATTGAGATTTGCGAAGAAGGGAGGGGTCTAACTCAGCACTAGTCCCTTTCAGAGAACAAGCAGTTCCTTGTTTAAAGAGTCAGATTTGGAAGTACTCAATATCTGTAAAATGGACAAGGTGGATCCAGCCCCAGAAAATCCACTATCCACCGTGTTTCTGTGACACAGCAAGGGCCTCCTGCAGATTTTAACACTTTCCACTTTATACCTTACGTGAGCCAGATCCCAACACGTGACCTTCATCAGCTGGGCCATGGCACCTTGGTTAATATGTGGTAGGACAGTAACCAGAGGATTTCATCTGACCCCAAAAAACTGCCCCTGAGCCTAGATGTGTCTGCATATTTGAAACTATCAGCTTGAGCCAGGAGAATATTAGAACAGGCAGGGCCACCCAGAAAGATGTGACACTTGGGGGAAGGAAGCATCAATTCAGCATTACCCAGACACCAAAGGTTCATATTGTTTTACTCTGAAAAATAATGTGGGCTGGGGATGTGGCTCAAGCTGTAGCGCACTCGCCTGGCATGCGTGCAGCCTGGGTTCGATCCTCAGCACCACATACAAATAAAGATGTTGTGTCCGCCGAAAACTAAAAAATAAATATTAAAAATAAAATAAAAGATTCCAAGAGTCCATAAAATTAAAAAAAATAATAATGTGGTAGGGAGAGGCAGAGAAGGAGGACACCCATCATTGGCTGTGGTGACACACATATAGTCACAACGCCGTATACTGAAGAAATGTTCGTCTAGGTTCTTCATTGCCCCAGGAGAAGATATCACCTCCTTCTAGGCTCTTATGAAGCTAGAGTCTTGGGCAGAAGGACACAAAATGGGAAGAACTGTTCTGCATAGATCTCCAGAGTTATCGATATTTAATTATTTAGCTTGCTGAACTTACATTTTGAACCACTCTCAGGCTGAAGAGCAGAGTCATTACCCACTGTATCAGAGGAATACCTGTAAGACCAAAATATTTAGATCATTAGTAGTCTGGGCAGTTTGCAAAATTCCAAGAGTAGCGAAGATGATTGGCAGTGATTTGAGATGCATCCTAAGCTATGCCCGAACAAAAGTTATTTCTCATGATATTTTGAGTCCTAAAACTGAGAGCTAGATTGCTTTTAAACTAGCAACCTGAAATATGACATAGGAAAAGAATACGCTTCCTTAGAAGAATAACCATATTCATTTGTTTCTTCTCCTGGATGGTCCTAAATACTAAGACACTCAAGTACAACAGAATCAAGAGGCCAACATCCACTAGGAAATAGATAAATAAAATCCCTCCCCACTACTCCAAGTCTTGTCAAAATGAAGAATTGAATAATCCTAACTAGCTATTCCAGTTTGTGTAGGATGCACATGTATGTGGCAAAATGTGCTCACCAAAGCACATTCTTGAATTTTGCAGAGATATGTATGTGCAAGTATTTAATGTCACATAAATTTAAAGGAGCAGCAATTTTCAAGTTGTTTTTTCCAAAGGCTACTTATTCCCTACTGCCTCAATCTAACACATGGCACCCAAAACTTTAAAATCTTTTAATTTTTAAAAATGTATTTATTTTTAAATACTTAAAACCAATGATACTACCAGTCTGACAACCCCCTAAATTAAGTGGATTAGCAAACCTCATTTTCTTCAGATTCCTTATAAAACACACATAATGTGATGTCCTCACATTAAAAAAAAAAGGGTAGATTCTTGGAGGACGACCCTAAAAGAAGCCAAACAGATGTCTCTCCCCACCCTAGAAGGTTCTCCAGTGTCCTAAAAAAGCTCAGTATACATGAACACCATCTCTAATGTAAGGAATGAAATCCATTTGTGGGCTCCGGCAGCCCAGGTATTTATTCACCCCGCACATTCACTTCACCGGGAGGTGGGTGTTCTGGAATGTTCCTCATACAATGCTGTGTGCATATTTACTGTCGGAACTCAAGGAGGTACTGTTCTGGAACCTTCTCACACTGCAATTAACTGTGCAAGTAGGCAGAGCCAACTTCCCCAAGATAATCACCATGTATCTTAGGAAAAGACCCTCTTTGAAACCAGGCTGGTAGGGTGCTGGCATCTGAGCAAAGGACCAGATTCAATTGATTTTTTTTTTCCAGTTTGATTCATGAAGCCTCTGATGAAATCTATTTTGATTTTTGGAATGACCCGCATTCATAGGCAATTTACCTGATTACACATGTGTTCTTGGTGACTCTCAAAGCCTTCTACGTGTTAGGATTTGCAGGTGTCATTTGGGAATTTAAATGAGTGGAAAATAGCATAAGAAAAAAAAAGAAGGTAGTTTCAGCAGCTTTGAACGTACATTATTGTACAGAACAGAACACACAATTTTCATGGGAAGTAGACTCAAATAACCACTGAGATGCTGTCAAATGATCACTACATTCAGATTTGAAAATGCATTCATTCATTCTAGCCATCAGGTGAAAAGTATTATGTTCCTCTCTTTAAATGATTTATTTAACTTTAAAAAAAAAGGGAAATAAACCAAGTGGGCATCTTTCTGAAATTTATTTTTTATATTCTTTCTTTCTTTCTTTTAAAGAAAAAAGTCTTTATATCTCTTTTCCTCTTGGTCAGCCCTGCTGTCTGCAGTAGACGATGCGGGTAAGCACCACTATAATCAGAATGAATTGTGAATTCATAATGTCTTTTTTTTTTTTTTTCCAGAGCAGCTCGAAACATTTTCTTTCTCACAGATTTGAAATCTCCTTGCCTTGTTGCAGAAATGGCCTTCCTCTAATCTGATGTGACATGACTGGGTTCTGTTTGAAGGACCAAACAGTAAAAGATAGATTCATTCATCTATTTCTTTCTCAAGTTATGCATCTCTGTTCTCACTGAGACGCCAGGTGCTAGTCTATCCCACAAGCTGGTTTATTCCATGCACTGCCTGAAAATGAACCCCCTCTTCCTAAAAGAAGTTACTTTTATTTTAAAAAAAACATTTTATTAAGAATAATAAAGCAAAAATTATTATTTTGGGTTTCATGATATGCTTCGATATTTGTTCTTCCAATCAGGTCTTTTAGCCCCAGGATCTTAAAATTTGGAAGCGGCTCTTGCTTCATATCTTTTTTTTCCATCAAAATCAACCTCTCAAAGTTAAATGTACATTTTAACAAGATGACTGGTGAAATGGAATAACACTTTGCTTTCAAGAACTACTTATGGATTAAAGCTTACCCTCCGAAATGTTAGTAATTATTTAAATAAAGGTAACACCCAAGCCTAGACACTGCCCCTCCCTGCACCACTGCAATTGTTGAATTCCTTTCCTGGTCTTTCATGCAGATGCTCAGAAACAGGGTGGGGCCCTGGTCTTGCAAAGCAAGGGGAAGGGAATCTGTGCTGTAAAGAAAACTCAATTAATCCTTCATATTCTAGTTTTCCAGTATCCTTCACAAATACCTTTGAAACAATCATGTTGTTAAGAGTGCCACTTTTATTTTTAATATTAGGATTTAGCTTTAAACCTTTGTGTCAAACCAAATGTGCTGTGCACAAGCATGGATGACAGGTATCGAAATGAAGGTGACAAGTCAAGGGACTGGGAAATACCTCCCTGGAGAAGAAAGTGAGGGGGAGACTAACTTCTCTATGAATGTCTCTGGTGATGCTTATATTAATTTATTAATTTTTTTTTACAAGTACAGTTCAAGTCTACAAGTAAAATCCCACCATGCTAAGCCATGCTAGTTCCCTTATGAGTCAGCAGGCCACTAAGCAGTTCAGTAGGAGCAGAAAGAGTAAATGGGCAAGAGCTGTCTTTGGACACACCCATTTTACTAATCCTGACTGATTTTTTTTTTTTTAATCATCTTTGGTGTCTGACCTCAGAACTGGCATCAAAAACTGCACCCTCCCAGCTCTACCAAGAAAAATTAGGCTGGGGTGTGGACCTACTACCCTTCAGCTCTTTTACTGAGTGCAATTGAATTAGAGCTTATTTATTCCTAAATGGGCAACTCCTGCTTCATTTTCTCTCCAGTCTGCATGTTATCAGCTTGACATTCCCTTCAGTGGCACATGACAAATCAAATTGGCCATCATTGCACTCCTCAAAGGAGGATGTTTTTTGTTTCCCAGGACTGCTTCCTTCACTCTTACAATCATAGGCACACCAGAAAAAGACCCCTTTCCCCCCCTTAATATTTTTGTTTGTTTGGAGTGGGGAGGAAGCTTGGTAAGAAATAATGAGTAAATACAACTCATCATAAATCAAGGAAAGCAATGGATAGCCATAAAGTCAAAGGCAGTCTCAAAATACAATTCAAATACCTGTGCCTTAAGGAATTTGTCAAATAAGCAGATATTATTATCTTGGGAAAACTTTACCAAAACACAAAGTAAATTATTTTTCACATCTTTTTGCATGATTCAGCACTTTGAATACTCATTTCTGCCCCAAAGTTAAAAGATAAAAGAATATTTTCTGGGTGCCTTAAAACCTCACACACTCTTTTACTGAGCCATCTGCACTTCTGTTACTACAGGAGCATATCAGAAATACCGAGGGCCACTGGTTTGCTGCCGCAACGTCTAGTGACCACCTCAGAGTCGCTCAATTTCTCTCTCTAGCACATAAGTGGTACTCGGGAACGGAATGACCGGCCACAGAGGCTTCGCCACACACGCAGCCCCACACACGCAAGCACACCTGTCTAGCCCCTGACAGCTGCAGCCACACATTCCCACCTGATGTCTTTGCAACCTTTGTCAAGTATCTCAAGACAAGAATTTCCCAAAGCCCTACCCCCCACCCCAAATCAAAGCTCTCGCCCAAGCCCGGGACCAGTAGGAGCATCGAAAGAAGGCCGAGGGTGCGAGAGACCTCGGAATCGCTCTGCAAGCTTGACCTAGACATCACACAAATCCACGTCTGCATTCGAGGACCCTGATGTCCCCCGCACTGTCCCCGCAGCATCCCACGCCCGCTGTGTGCACTCACCTGCCAGTAAACGAGTCACACAGCTTGGCGGTCCAGACTTCCATCGCGACCTCGGTGGGCGAGCTTCTACACTGGATGCTCCCGGGCGGCAGGGATCACCGGCCAGCGCTGAGCAGGGCGGTGGGATGCCGGGAGCCGGCAGGAGGAGCGCGCCCGGGCGGGTCCGTGCCGAGCCCAAGCGAGCGGGCGAGCGGGGCGGGAGGGGCCATTTGTAACCGAGCAGACGCTACCACCGCCCCTTACTCGCGGGGGGCGGGGGCTGGCGGTCAGGTGACAGCGGCCCACCCTCCGCCGCGAGCCGGGTGGTTCCTGCCCGGGAGGAGCCCCCTGGCGCGCTCTGATTGGAACTCCCGCCGCAGTGGCGGGGGAGGGGGACACGTGACCACCCGGCCGGGCAGCCCCGCGCGCCCCACCCGCGTTGGGCACCCCATCTTCCTCTTGGAAAAGCCGGGGGACACAGAGAAGGCGGGGGAGCACGCGGGTGCAGGCGAGCCTACCAGCCCCTTTAGCTGCAATGCTGGTGATCCCGGTCGCCGAACCCGGGGAGGAAGGGCTCCCACAGTGAAGCCAGCCTGCCTTCACTGTCCTCCCGCCCTGCCCTTGGCCGCTGCACCCTCCCTTCGGCTGCAGTACCCGCCCCCACACCTCCAGGCACGGACACTCAGTGTAGACCACTGCCACTCCATGGATGCCAGTGCCACTTAAGAGTGTTCTCTTTTCGTCCCCTTTTCCTCCCACCGTCTCCTCTCTACACCAGCATATTGTACCTAAGAGAAACTCAAGGCCATGCTTGGCAGACACCGCCCAGTCCCAAGATTTGGGAGGACCCCTCACCCCGACCACGCCCCGGGATGCCTGAGGGCGGCTCCCAGATTTTAATGCTAAGGGACTAGGGCCTGCTCCCTTGGAAGAAAGAAGCACTGTAGTGTCGGCAGTGTCTCTGTCCCCTCCAAGAAGCAGGCCGGATGCAAGGGGAGAGAACCGTCATCTGGGTGCGATTTCAGTTCACAGCCTATGGGAGCATGTTGCTAGTAAAGGTCAAATTAAAACACATAAGCTGGTGGCGCGGCAGGGACGCGCCACATGGTCGTGGGAAGCCCGGCTGTTAATTATCCATAACGAGCATCGCTTTTCTTCTGTGGGAGAATGGGGTCGTGCGACAGCCCCCCATTCCCCGGAGTTGCGTGCTGTTCTAAGCTCTGGTTCTCCCGCAGAGAGAGTGGATTCCGCAGTCTTGTGTTCCACCTCCCCGTGACCCCCCTCTCCTGGCTGCACCAACCTAGAAGGCAGGAATTCGGAGAAAATGCGGTGTCACGTCCCCCGGTAAACCCGCGGACGCCTGCGCCAACCCCCAGCAACATGTGAGGACCGTGAATCGGGAGTCCGCTCTCGGCTTAGATGGTTATATGGGAATACTTATGTTATTATTTATTATAACCAAATTGGAGGGAGAAGTCTGTCTCTACACTGGTTTCTCTAGAACGTGTGTCCAAGGGAGTTTTGTTCTTGATTTGGGCGGGGACGCGCTTTCCAGCCAAGCCCGGCTGGCACTTTCCTGAGCCCTAGGCACGGATGGGGAGAGCAAGGGAGAAGACAACGGGCACTTGGTCTTTGGGTGTTCTGCCTTCGCTCCCTACTTCCACCAGTTGAACAACGCGTTCCTGGTCCCTAGAAGACTTTCCAACCGAAATGTTACTCAGACATTACTGAAGGGGGGAACTTGGACCCATTTGTTCCTGGGCTTCACCGAGCATAAAACAAGTGTGAAGCAGGTTTACTTGAGAAGGGAGTTTACCTGTAAGACTTCAGGCACAAACTCTAGGTAAGAGAACCTTTGAGGACGCTGAAAATCTATCCATTGTTAAGTTGGGGACAGTGGTAGGGGGAGAGCTAATATAAAAAGAAATGGACCTATTAAATGAATAAGGAGCATCTTATTTTTCAGGTGACACCTCGCTACCCTTGAGTCCTCCCCTCCCCTCGATCCATTTCTTCAAACCACAAAGGTTGAGGAACTATAAGCCCGGGGGTGCTCTATTAAAAAGAACTTTTTAATCAGGAAGGCAGGTAAGTTTTGCATTTCCAGGTGTTCATTTTTATATAACCACCACGTTAAAATGGAAGGTTTGTTATAACAAGAGAATCCCAGAGAACAGGATGCAGAGAATTTTCACAATTAAAAAAATAAACTTCCTCCCTGCCCTCCCTGACAGCTACTTCCGCATGAGCTGGGGACAGGGACAGGTGGTGGTGGTGACGGGGGGGGGGGGGGGGGGGGGGGGGGGGCGGGTTATGGGCACTCTGGGTGCGCTGGTGAGTTGGCTGGGCCACTTGCTGCGGCACTTCCAGAAGAGGTAATTTCTGAGGAAATCTGACGGGAATCTGGATTTAAAATCCATTCTCTAGGATGCGACACCCCAGAAGCCCAGATAGAAGGCTAACACGGTCTCAGTACCTCAAAGAGGTGTGTTTTTTAACTTGAACTCTGGACCATTTTATTCTTGAAATGCTTTGTCTTGCACCTCTGGGAGTTATTCTGCAGGGATGAATGCATCTGTCTCCTCCTCTCTCTCCTTTTCTCCCTCTCTCCCAGTCTCACTTACATACACACCCACATGAAGTCCAAAGCGGAGGGAGGTACGGGGCACCTCGGACTTTTACGGGCTCTGCCCTTGGGAAGCAGTGGGAAGGGGACAGCCTCAGTGTGGCTGCTGATGTGCGGCAGGTTGCTCTGAAAGGCCCTCCTCCGGCTGCTTTGGGAGTGCCGAGCTGCTAACGGAGGCTCCCCGGCGTCCGGATGGACCCAGAGCAGTGGATGCAGTGAAGAGTAGGTGTCTTGGGACAGCAAGACTGGAGAAGGTCAGGCGAGTTCTCCGGATTCCGAGTTCATCTATCTACAGGGTCACGCTCTGTTGAGAAAATGCACGATACCCGAGAGGAAGCGAGTGACACTGACCAAGTGTCCGTTCAGGGCCAAGCCGCGCGTGGTAGAGGGGGTCTCGAGGCCCTTGGCTCTCGGCTCCTCCGCAGCGGAGGCTGTCACTTGAGCCGCTGCTGAATCTTTGCGTTCAGCGTCCTCCGGTGGCATGGTCCAGGGTTTGAGGAGCAGAAACTGAGAACAGGAGCAACTCACTGTGGGTTTGGAGTGACCACGCCTTCGGGTTGTGAAAACTGCCGCATGGTGACTTGGGGGCGGGGAGGGTAACAAAATGCGGAATTTATCCTGTTTTTTTAACCTAAAATGAAGTGAGTAGTCCTAAGCGCAAAAAAAAATGGTTCTCTGCTAGGACCTTGGAGCTATGGGGGAGGGGGAATAGTAGCTTTAGGACAACCCAGGTTATGCTCAATTTACCCATGTCAGGTCGCATTCTCTGGAATTCTACCCCAGGGGAAGCTCCGCTGCCCCAGAGGTCATCTTGCATTATGACACCCTGCAGTTAGTTGCCCTCCAACCTCCAAGTCCCCACGGTCAAATCCCTCAGCACTGGCTAGAACCAGCAAAAGTCTGGGCCCTTGATCCTTTACCTGGACCCTTTTCCTCTCTAGACCAGGCTAAAACCAGTAGGGACCGCAGTGCGGTTGATGGGTACCTCGCTGCCCCCGCCAGCTCCTCCTTGGACTACCTCCTCCTTGCACCAAACCAACTGCAGGACTAGAGGCTGCTACAGTGGGGCCACAGCATTCCAGTACTTTCCGTCCCCTCCCCCTTGGCCACACCTCAGCTACTCACCTCTCCCCGCCCCCCTCATTTGTCCCCAGCGAGCTCCCTGCTCCAGCCCCTCCAGGGTCTGTGGAAGCTAAGCTCCCTGTGCAGGCATTGGGAGCGCACACGACGGCGATTCGCAACCCTACACTTGTCCCAGCTCGGGGTCCACCCACTAGGAACCCGCCGGCTCCGGAAGGTCCCCAGCGCCACTCTCTGGGTCTAGGCTGCGGGTGTAGTAACCTCAAAGCCCCAAGGAGCCCCTGTTGGTCAGTGTCCATCCCACACTTTTTCCCAAGCCAGGGGTTTAGCCAGCTGGGAAACCCCTTTCGTTCCAAGCCTGTACCCACAACCATCCCCGGACAAAGCCGTCCTCTTCCCAGTTTCCTCCACCCGAACGCGAAGGAGGCCCTGGCATCGGGGGAAAAACGCGCGTGGAGAGCGCCTCCAGGCGCCGGGCCGCTGTGTGGTCCCGGTCCCTGGCCCTGCCTGCTAGGTTCTGGGCTGTAGCTGCGAGCACTGCCTGAGCAGGGCAGTCACCGCACCCGCTGTTCCAGCGCCGGCACCGGCCACAACGGCGCTGCAAAAAGGAGGCAGGGCAGCACCGGCTCCTGAACACCCACGTGCCCCTCGTGTGCACCCCAGGCCTGCAGATGCTACCGGGCTGGCCGGCTGGCGCCGCCGGGATTTCTAGGCGGCTCCACCCTCCCTGGTCGCTACGCCTTGTTCCCTGCATTCGCAGCCTCCTTGGCGTCTGCACCGCAGCATCCAAGACCCGGCGCTCTGCAAGCGGGACTGCCCAACACGCCGGCGGGCCGCTGCCGGGAGGCCTCACTTCCCGATCGGTCCGGCACTCACCTTTCCCTGTGAATGGAGGGGTTCAGTCACTGAGCCAGGGCTATTCACCCGCCGCCCACAGTCTCCTGGAGGGTGCAGCAGGAGGGTGTTCCCTAGGCGCCAGCACCCTCCTCATATCCTTCTCTGGCTTTCTGCACAGCACCTTCTTCAGCCGGCCACCCTCCCTGACAGTAGGGGATGCATAGCTCTTGCTCCCTCTTTCTTCTGCTTTCTCTCTCACGCTCTCGCACCAACGCCCACCTATATGTTCACCTGAGCGCCAGGGCCAGTAATCTCCCTCTCGAACACCTAATTTCAGCACTAAGCAGCGCACATCATGTCGCTGTCAGCAAGTTGAGGGGGTGGCACTTATGAGCTAGGTGATTTCCCAAAATTTAAGAAATAACCTTCTGCCCCTCGCTTTTGTGTGCTTAACAGGATTACTGTGTTTAAAAAAAGCAACCACACATTTGAAAAATAGTAAAGTATTTAAGATAACCACACAATTGTAGAAGAAATAATACACAAAGATCCTATGCACCTTTTTACTCAGTTTCCCTTAATGGTAACAGTTATCCAAACTGTGGTACAATATCACAACCAGGATATTAGCATTAATACAATCCTTGTTAGT